AGGTTTAAATGTCATATTGCGGAAGAGATGGGGGCAAATTACCTCTGGACCACTACTACTTATAGCTTAGACTTAGTCGGTAATACTATGTTAACCTACTTAGCTAAAACCAACCTATAAAGTATATTTTCTTCTGAGTAAACCACTCGTGGTTTTAATCATATTAATATATACTTCATTAAACTGCGTCCGAGAGCGGTTTATAATAAAAATATAAGATAATATATGAGCCCTTCTCGGGCGGTTTCAGACGCCACTTAGCTTCTATTGATCGTAGCGCGACGGGTCCTCAATAAATAGAATGTCCAATAAAACGTTATTTTTTAAATGTATATTAATAGTTCTGAAGATTCGCGGGTTGAAACGAATAAACAAAACTCTTCAGGTATGTATGTATATAATCGTCCGCCCTAGTGCGGGCCATGATGCGGAGCGAGGGGGACTGGGATAACGTCTCCTTCTTTAGAGAAGCAGTAATGCTAGCTATGGAGGAGGCGGGGTGCATGAAGCAGCCATCGCGAAGGACACTTCGGGCGTCAGGGATCGCGGGACCATCTCCGGCCACCGTAGGCGCAGGCCTGCGGACGGCGAGCATGGGTGGCTCGCCGCCCGACTAAAACCAGACCCGAGCGTACGGCGCGTCGCGTTCTTCAAAGAGCCATCAGACCACTACGGATGGGGCCCGATAGGGCTGATGCCGATACGAAGCCGCGGAGAACCTAATGTGTTACCGAGGCTCCGGCGCGAAGTGCAGGAGTAGGAGCAGGGTGGTTTTTAGTCAGTAAGAGTCTGATACTCCCTCCCGCCTCACGTAGGCGGGAGCAGTCATTCAATGATTTTCCCCCCTTAAAAAAAGCTATGTATATAATATGAAGCATTATGTAAGTAATAAAATTCCTATAGCGAAACTGAATCTTGGTTCGCCTTGGTATGTTAAAGGGCCATTATTATAAGACTACAATAAAGTGACCACTACGTTCAGAGCCAATATTAATACCGAGAACACGTGAAAGCTCTTTCGACTTTATTGCGTTCGGCTCGATATTACAGTATACATTTTTGTCTGATGCTCAAAAGAAAGAAAAGTTATTAGATTCCTGTCTACTTTATTGGTAATTCTATTTTATTGGAATTTATCGGTCGAGGGCTGTGATGTTTGAGGACTTTCTCTCAATATTTCCATTCTGAAACCGATATTTATTTATTTATTTCAATTAAATAGTAGATATAACATAACAGTCATGAAACCAAGGCGTTATACATTTCAAATAATTATAAAAGGGAAAAAATAAACAAAACAAAACAGAAAAGTCCAACAAACAATAAGAAAACCTTACAAACTATGATAGGTTTTAATACCAATAAGCAAAATACAATAATATAATAACAACATAAAATAAAAAAGACATTTACAACACAACATAAAATAAAATACGGTTATGCATTCACACACTCGAACAACTTCATGCATTCTTTGCACACAGTCCTCCAGCTTGACGCAAATATATCAAACTCTGGTGATGATGCCAGAAGATATTGGTTCGTTATTAAGCCCCCATACGTACTAGTGGTTGGCCGCGCGGTTAGCTGGCTGCTAGCACGGCAATTTAATATGGAACCGCGATACAACCACTATGGTAACCACCAAACCGTCTAGGCGGTCAACCGCTAGTGTCCATATGGGGGCTTAACCGGTCGTGTATCGGAACTGTAAGGATGGCGCCCCGAGAGTCGCTTTTGAATTGACACTACAAGTACTCATTTCTTTAATTTACCCTTCACAATTTTTGATTTACAATAATTACTGTGTGATATAAAACGTTGTTAGTAGTTAAACAACTTTTTCTAAAGAGAACCTATACAGTAATTAAGATATATATTTCTTCTTACAGTGTTGGGGAGTTATCCCTTAGTCGACTAATATGCTTCCGAACACACTTCCACAGAAATTACGAATTGTTTTAATTGCAATTTACAAGTATAGGGCTTTGTTAACAACAATGTAAGGATTGATTATATTGTAATTTACAATAAGGCCTTATTCGCGACAGAACGTAGATCCACGCGTGACACCACAACATATTTTGTATTGTATCTTATACATAAACCGGCAGTCAAGAGGTTAAATAGACTTTGCAGATAAAGAATATGAAAATGTATCACGGACCCTAATTATAAAATATAATGTCAATATTAATATAACACTAATGCACTCAAGCTTTTAACCCACACTTAAACAGTGTAATCCATTTACAGAGCATCTTTACGCAAATGCATCCGTAATAGAATTCCTAACATAGTCTGTACATACAAGCACCTAGAATATTCTGTATCTCTTAATAAATCAAATTTAGGGGGGGAGTGTACGTTATAATGGAATTTACGTCCCGGTTGCGGTAGCAAATGAACTTACATTATGGGGCTGTCACAAACACCGGTTGGAAACTACCAGGCACCTGTTTAGCAAAGTAGACTTAATTGCATTTGGAAGAGAGACGATATTACAGTATATACCACAAGCCGCAGTATTAATTAGTGTTTAGTGTTTAGCTAGGTATAAAACTACTCAAATAAAAGTCATTTTATTATTATTTAGGCAGGGAAAGAAACACTAAAACATATTTACAATTCCTACATCACCTTCGAATTACGTTCGCTTTTAGCAAGCGTCATACGAAGGATTGAAAATATTAATATCAACTTTATACTTTTACAAAAGGGTTCAAAATTCAATTTGAAATGACAAGGGATAGGTAGTTTTAAATTGAAATGTGTCATGACCATGGTATACACAGCATCACATCAAACTATGCAAAAACCAGTATAATCTGACCGTTTAATGAGCAGAAAGATCATATAAATCGCGACCATGTTGAACTGGTGATTTATAATCTGATATACTGCCGTATGTACACTCAACAAAGCTATCATACATTTTAATTGGGTACCACTCGATACATGACTTGTTTGGTCAAAGTTGAAATAATTGGTAAGCCAGTGAGACATATGTTCTTGTATTTTCGATTACCTAACTTTGAAATGTCTAGTGCAAGTTTGTTTTACGTTGACGCGATCGAAACGTGGTCACATCTAGCCTTCTAATTGGTTGGTTAAATTGGAACAGGCCAATCAGAGCACCGAACGTCATAAGCCTGTCGATCGCGTTTACATAAAACAAACTCGAGCTAGGATTTGCTTTAAGTTTATGGCAAACCAATGTACCTACAGCATCATCTCACTCCAATAACTGATGTAACTAACAGCAGTAGTTTAATTAACTCAGTGACTGCATTAAAACTTCATAATTGGCTTAGACTTTACTTCAGGCAACATTTTATATTTTCTCCTTTAAGTCTTCCAGAATGTTATTTTCTTTTTGAAAAGGAATATAGAAGATGCATCAATGTGAATAAGTGGGTATGATTTTATAAAGCTGCGTAAAACATAACATTCAATATCTTGTGTATTCAAATAAAGAAAAAAAATGAATAATCAAACAAGGAGCGTTTGCAACTCTTGTTTTTAAAAATAGAATTTACAGTACATGATCCTAATTAGCACATAAGCATTGGTCGTCTCGTTTAATTAGCAAGAATGGAAACTCAAAAACAAATAAGTTGAAAGAAAGTCTAAATAATTAGAGACAAAGGTACGTAGATTACACGAGACCCCAAACTTTGAGCAAACATTTCAGTGATGCGAAAATTTCACCCTTCAAAGTGACCAAAACCTAGCAAATTTTGTCTCATAAGTATGTAGGGCAGGGATTTTGTGGTACAAGTGCTAGTATACATATATGTACATGTCACGGAGAACCTAACGGGTAACCGGGGCTCCGGCTCAACTTGCAGGAGAAGGAACGGGGTGGTTTTTAGTCAGTAAGAGTCTGACACTCCCTCCCGCCTCACTCAGGCGGGAGCAGTCATTCGATGATTTTCCCCCCTTAAAAAAAGTAGACATATACATAGAGAACAAAGTCGATGAACACAATGGAGGCTAACATTTCATCAAACACCAGAAGCAATATTTTTAGCCAGAGGTTTTTGTCCAATCATTACAGTCGTCAAAAATCGAAGAACCAATAGTATGACACTAACTAATTCTCTATTGGACGTGTGAGTGAGATTAGGCCCAATTACCCTCCCCTTCCCCAATCTCCCCAATCCCTGAATCCCCAACGATCCTCAAACTCCGAATCCCCGAAAGGCCGGTAACACACTTATAATGCCTTTGGTGTTCACGGTGTCCATGGGCGACGCCGATTGCTTACCATCAAGTGATACGTCTGCTCGTTTCACCGGCTTATGCCATAAAAAACGAACGAAAAAACGAAAAGTTTATACTAGATCTGCTGAATAAAAGCGATAGCCCCCATTAGTATTCAGCGTTTCAAACTAATAAAAATTCAATTTACGCCAATGTTAAACTTGATTTTCTTTCAAGCTGAAGCTTTAATACAGGTATCGATTTTTCCGATTCGTAATAAATTCTCTCTTCTGTTACGCTTCACTTCACTCATTGTTGTTAAATCGGAAATTGAATCGAGCTCTCGATTTTTTTTTCATATCGATCCTCGGATTTCGTTTATTTTTAGATCTGGTTCAAGATTATTGAATCGAGTAAATCTGCAACTTACATTTTGCTTTAGAATAATTCAATAGGAGACAAATACCTAACCATTATAGAGGTTAATATGTTGTAAATCACCTCATTTATGTAACTATAAATTTTAAAGCCGTTTTACATTTTATTAGACCACATAAAATGGCGTCGTTTAAATCTATGTTTTCTAAAACACAATTCGTAAACATGTCAAAATAAGTAATTTCAAACTCAAATTCTCAGTAAACATCGATATTTCGTGATAAACGATTTGCTCTCTCCTTTGATCGACTGTTCGTAGTTCAAATATTTTCTCACACTTCACCCTTTACAAATATTTGATGGCAGCTTAATCAAATTCAATTTTGTGAAGGGTCGAACAGATTTGGGTAACTTACCGAGCAGTGTTCTTGGTTGGAGTGTCACGCATCCAGTGTGAATGTACTCGATCAGTTGACGAAATACGTCAGGCTCAAATTCTTCAATGATCAAAGTTTGATGTTGCTGCGAAGATGGCTGTCACAAATAAAAAAGAATTAATTGACGATATAAGAAATACTTTTCGTCAGTGTTTTGTACCAAAAGATACTGTTTGAGTTTATTCTTTTAGTCGACAAGTTTAAATTCGCATTAATTACAAGACAGTATAATTGCATTTAATATTTGGTATAAAACACGGAAGTAATCAGTAATTTGAACCACATGTTCAATAGAACTCATAAATAAAATTCATAGTGCTTTTATTTACAATTTACAATTCAGTGCCTCATAAAATCATTCATGAACTGAACTGAAAGCAATTTAAAAGGCACAAGAGATGGTGTTTTGCATAATCGAATACGCGTTGAACGTTTAATAAGATTTTATTCTTGTCAATCTTGTGGTTCTAGTGAAAAGTAAATTGAAAAATGTTCAACTTGATGTAAAAAAGTATAAATATTTATAAGGCAATTAATCGGTAAACAGTGGAACAACATCAAATAATAAATAAGAAAAGAATCGATTCTGTGACAAGAAAATTAAAACGGCAAACATGCTTGAAGCTACAATCGGATCGAAAATAAAAACGGTGGAATTAAATAAAGAATCAACAACATCAATTGACTCACCTTGTTAAATATTAATGAGAAAAATTCAACAGTATCATGCATAACAACAACTGTGACGCAATAACCGTAAAGTAAAATAAAAATTTATTTGAAATAGATTCAATTTAGTCAGACGAATTCAGTCCTATCTACTTTGTGTACTGAAAGGTGATAAATTTGTACAATATGAACACCGAGTACTGAAATCGATATTAAAAGTGAGACCCCTAAAACACCGTTAATTTTGTTTTTACCTCTTGTATTGGTGCCAATTGCTGCGCGAAAGTCGACCTCTGTAGCGGACACAGTAAAAATTCAACGTTAACATTCAATTTGATTCATACCACTCTGCAATTTGTTGAAACATCTCTTTCAAATGTACTCAACTGTCGCGTAGATTATTATACAAAATATGGTGGTGCAAGGGATTTATCTTTTCGCAAAACTTTTCCGCATTCGTGATTTTATTTTATTAAGTTAGTTTCGCTCGAGTAAAGAGAGACCTTTTGAAAAGAGAATATAAAAATATTTCTCGTTCAAAATGTGGAAATAAAGATGGGCTGAGAGTTCGAAGGTTTCTCTTTGTGCAGCAGATTTCCAGTGCAGGGACATTTTTCTCTAAGACTTTTGGAAATATTTAAAACTCCACATTGAGTAAAAAGAATATAACACAGCCATTTTCATTGATAAAACCTGTTAATAATATAAAATGAAATAAATAATATGGACCGGTAGGCAACTTATTGACAATGGATATCAGGGCTTTTATATCTGGGTTAAAAGTAAAGGCGATTGATAATGGTGATTTTGTTAAAGGTCGCCAATTAGGGAGGTTCAACATTTAACATTCCGTTGCAATCCAATACCAATTAGTATAATTTGACTATTTATATTTTACCTGTTGAGCAGCATTCTGGAGATTAAGAAGTGGTTCTGAAGATCTTTTTAAGAAGAGTCGCAGTTTATTCTCCCTTGGAGCCGGTTCCTTCTTGCGTTGGGGGCTTGGAGCTTGGTAAAGCATCTTTTGGAACACCCTGGTCACAAAAATTATGTAGTTTATTGAATGCCTCGTTGGCCGAGTAGTCGCAAGTGCGACTGCCGGGTTCTCGGGTTCGATTCCTAGGTTGGGTAAGGTACTACTGGGATTTTAAAATTCGCAGTAGTAGCACGGATCTGGGATTGTGCCCGGTATATGGCAATAGGCTCATTCTCTATTACATGGGACTCATAACTTAAATAGTGATGAAGTCGGTTAAAAATTGGGTGTTATATTGTACAGTGGGTTTAAGTACCGTAATGTGCACCTCTGCCTAACCCTTCGGGGGTAAAAGGCTTGATGTTATGGTGTTATGTTATGTTTATTGAATGTTAATAAAATTGGTGCTAAAATATTTCCGAAAGGTAAATAATTATGCATGGATAATCTACTATATAAAAATAAGTCGGGTTTTCCTTCCTGACGCTATAACTCCAGAACGCACGAACCGATTTCCACGGTTCTTCATTCGTTGGTAATCTTTTGACTTATTTTTATATAGTAGATTTTATATTATTCAATATGTGACATTTTAAAAGTTAACTGGACATGAAAATGTGCGATGACACGCACGGAAAGCCTGCAAAAAAGGGAATACATTGTATGCTTGCATCGGATGGGTTTTAATTAAACTCCGTTCGACATTCAGGACACTCATACAGAGCCGTACATACATTGAACTTTTCATCCATGAAAACAATGAAGTGATGTTCAGGGAAAAACTGTATTGAATTGTAATGTATTTTTTTAATATGCTTCATAAGTAACTACCGACTTTCAAGAATATTGTAAGCAACTGCTTATACTGATTACTGACACACTAAGAAATGTATTAAAATAAAAACTTATACGTTACTACAGATCAAGAATATTACGTATGGTTTAGCAAAATGTCATTGATTGCTTCAATCAATAGGGAAGATGACTAATTTTTATTTTAATGTCCGTCTGGTAGATTATTTTAAAATATTGCACATGTATTTTTTTTTTACAGAAACGAATACTTTCCACGATATATTGATTTAAAATGTCGCGTGACGTCACTTCGAAATGACGTTTTAGCCCCCACTCCAAACTTGGATTCGTTATATCTAAGTATCATTTTATTATACAACAAAATAAAAAATACGTGTCTAATATTTTTTCATTACCTAACTGACGGACTAATTCATCATTTCACAAGCCTTTTTCAACCAATTTGGTGTCGGCCTCTTACAAATCTTTCCACTTACTGACAGACTAACTAGATTTTTAATTTTCATACCCTGTCATCATCCCAATTGTTTGCAACAGGCAAGAAACTTGCCTCATGTAAATGATAATTCTAAACAAAGTCTATTATTTGATCAATTTACCAGTCTGTAATGTTATTTACGAGTTTTAAACTTCATTAATGTTTTGTCAGATATTCCTTTGTATTGTGGTCACGTGGGATTCAAAGAAAAACATACGAGTAATGCTCAGTTATGACACGCATTCATCAAATACATTTTCGAGTAACATTCAAAGCATATTTTTATTTAAAAGTATGCTAGCTAACCTTTGCTGTGCTGTCCTGAAATTAGTGCGTACTGAAAAAGACAGTTATCTTTTTTTGACAGCATATTCATTCCGATGTGGAAAAGTATCAAAATATTGTTCATAGATATTTTTTTTATATTTGTAAATACATAAATTGTATTCAGAAGTGCTATTTGTAAATAGTACTGAAATGTCTACTTTAAAAGCATGACTTTCTTCAAGATGGTTGTAGTACTTAATTTAAATTATTTCGTTTAGTGTACCACCCACGCTATCATACTTAATTTCCTAATTAATTTTCCTTAATCACAAGAAGTGGAAATTATCATCAAGATCCATTTTATTAATTTCACGTTAGTAAAGTACCTAACGTTTTTTTAACGTTAAAATCTAATGAAATCTACTTTAAGAGCTTTTATTTAAATTTGGAGCGTGATACAGTTTAATTAATGATGAGGAGACAGTCAAATTAATATTGGAAATGGGACATTTTATTTTTGTTTAAGCAAACGGAGACCTTTTGATGTGAAATTGACAATAGTGGAAGATCATAAATAAAGATACAAATTGCAAATGAAAAGACAATTATTATAATATTCACTAACTGTAGAAAATCTAATAACATGTTTATATACGTATCGTTAATAGATGAAAAATAGGAATGGAAAAATCAAATCCTCCCATTCTCAATTCTCAAGTCCCCAATTTTCAAATTCTGAACCATCAAAGCGCTGATAAAGCCTTTGTACTTATCTGGTGTTCCGAATCACAATGGGCGGCACCGGTTACTTGCCATCAAATGATGCGTCTGTTCGTTTGCCTTCCAATCCCATAAAAAAACACCAGTCTTGGAATAAGAGTAAAAAAGAATGAATATGAAAGAAACAAACCTGCTCCGGGCTGCCAGTACGGCTTTAACAGCACATACCGGCTCCCTGGTGTCCCCAACCAGGAAGGTGACGTCACAGAGTTCGGGCATGGAGGCGAGGAACTTCATGTCCTCAGCCAGCCCTGATTTGTTCTCGAAGGTGCTGAGGTCAGGCTCGGCCTCCATTGCCGCTAGCGCCCCGCTTCGCATTGACGACTGTGAAAGAAATATAATGTCAAACAGCTATTAACTACTCCACCATTAGGATAGACCCATTACATCTTTGCCGAGAGTCTCAAAAGATCATTACAGGATTTAGAAAAACCTGGATGTTAATTTACTTTGAATTACGAGAAGCTAAATTCTTCTATTTTTTATGTGTGAATTATGCTATATAGAAGCCCTGATTATTGATTTTTCCACATATTTAAACTAAACTGTAAAGAAAAGCCAACTATCATTAAGGAAAACAAATCTTCTAGAAGATTGTGTTTAAGATATAATAAATCAAGTATATCATTAACTTTGCTCCAATTAAGATACATTTTGATTCTATTGATACAAGAAAAAGTGAATTTCCAAGTAATGAAATGTTTAAAATAGGTCTTATCTCTAAGAATACTTCGATACGGCTTCACATATATAGCTTCTTGGCCATAAAAGTCACGTATGTGTACTAAAATATTAGAGATAAAAGCCATTTCCACAAATCGATTTTCTTATTTATGACCTCTATTTTTATGATACGGTAAGCTACTATCAGAATTTTCCAATATTGGATAATTTTTCGACTCCATTTGTGGCGAGTGAAAAATGAATGAGAGGAATTTCTGGATATAGTACTAAAGTGGATGAAACGGCATTTATTGTGTTTCTTGTGGCGGTTATAAGTTCAATGTACCTATAAAAGAAGCCAAAAGGGATAATGAAAATCATGACATATTAAGAAAAAATAATTGATGTAGCCATAATAATAAAAGTGCAGTCTTAAAGATATTGGCAATAACGGTAGGAATATGTAATTCTAGTATAAATTATGTTTAAAATACCCAAATTAAACCTTCTCTCGTTTTGAAGTCGGTTAATTGCCACAGCTTTTCTTAAGTGCAAACAACATTTTTATGAAAACCTCATCAAAGTTAGTTCAGCCAATGGTGAAATATTCGCGCATAAAATACATATATTTACATACATAGAGGTCAAGCAGAGATCCAACTTTTTTTTTATGTCGGTTAAAAAGACGATCTATATTTAGGATCATATAGAGGTAGCATTAAGCGATCCTCTATAAAATATATTGTGAATTTTATTGAATTGGATTATTATTGATTATTATTATTTATACATATCCCTTTTCTATTTCAATGTACTTAACTTCACATGGCCTACGCAGGTTAAATAGGCTATAAGAATAAAGAATCTTATACTATTATATAAAGCGGAAGAGTTTGTTTGTATGAACGCGCTAATCTCCGTAACTACAAGTCTAATTTGAATAATTATTTTTGTGTTGGATAGCGCTTTTATCGAGGATGACTATATCTTATTAAACATCACGCTACGATAAATAGTAGCCGAGCAGAGCGTGTGAAACCGCGCGGCAGTAGCTAGTGTACTATAAAAACCATCAAATGTAATAACTTTATTTATACATATAAAGTATTATATATATGTCTATTGTAGACGTTGTAGAGTCTACAACAGTAGTATTACCCATCACACAACGATCAATATAAACTATAAGCAATTATGTTGACAATTAACGCGTTGATAAGCATATACATATATATATACATACCAAAATACCCTTTATGATGTTCATACGAATCCAATACCAGTTAGTATAGAAATGTTCCTAGTTAATTAACGTTTTCAAAATGAAGAGAGTTTATTCAACCAAGTCGTTCTTAATTGGACGCAAATGTGCTCGTTAAAATATTTAAAATTTTAAATGGTTATTTTGACGTTGGAATAAGTATTCAGGTTTTCTGTTAAAACATAGTTTTGCAGACAAAAGTAGAAATGTTGAATTAATTCAGCAAAATGTAGATTCTCTTTTGAAATTGCATGTAGTTTTAGTCAAAGGTGTATTTAAAGCATATAGCACATAATGTCGTGTCTCACAAACGGATGCATCGTTAATTAATGCTGTATAAAGACAAAATGTAATACTTCATTCTTGAAATAACAGATGTAGCTATCTTATCTTAGTACTAGCCACTTCAGTGCAGTTTCACCCGCTCTACTGGGGTCCTATATATCGTAGCGTGATGTTTTATAACTTAAAGCCTTCCTCAATTAATGGACTATTCAACACAAAAATGTTTATTGAAATCAGACCAGTAGTTCCGGAGATAAGCGCGTTCAAACAAACAAACTCTTCAGCTTTATACAATACTAGCGACCCTCCGCAGCTTCGCACGGGTGCAATATGCATGTATCATACATATAAACATTCCTTAAGAATCACTCTATCTATTAAAAAAACCGCACCAAAATCCGTTGCGAAGTTTTAAAGATCTAAGCATACATAGGGACAGACAGACAGTGGATAACGACTTTGTTATATACTATGTACCTCTATGTAGTGAAGTATAAGATAAAGAATTGTCTAATAATCTGGGCATATAGAAGTATACGCTAAGTTTGAGAACATTTTGTCAATGGTACAATAAGTAAAACAGTGACACAAAACTTTCGTAATTACTTTAACTTTGATACAGAACCAATAAATATTGCAATAACTGAATATATCTCATTTCAAAACCCTTTGAAGATGTAAATGAAAATAATTTCTATCTTAATCGAGTTAATACTAACAGCTACCAAAGAGTTTTAATAAGGAGTTACGACGTTTTGTAATTAGTGGAGATTTCCGGACCGACCCATTAGAGGTTGATCAAAAAGAGCCATTTGATAACTTAGAAGTACTAGCTTAAGAGGATTAACTCCATCGGCAGATTAATTAGGATTTATCAGAGAATGTCGAAGGAAATGGTCAGGATAGAAAATGCTTTGGGATTAAAGACGTGTAATACGATAATTCTATGTCATTTATTTGGATTACACTTCGATTTGTTCTTAGACTTGACTGATCGGGTAATCTTTTCTGCTTTATAGTACACTAGCTTTTACCCGCGGCTTCGCTCGCGTCACAAAAGGATAAAAAGTAGCCTATGTGACATATACCAATACACACAGTGCCATCTATACCAATACTTTTGTTTTCCCTCGGGAATATCAATTTTTTCCGGGATAAAAAGTACCCTATTATTTAATCCGGACTTCTAATTTTACGTCTGCAAAAATTCAAACCAATCGATTTAGTAGTTACGGCGTGAAAGCGGAACAAACAAACAAACTCACTTTCCGATTTATATTATTAGTAAGGATTAGATAGCATTGTCAGTTCGGGCGAATATGTTGGCACGCAGATTCTCTCGTTGTATAGACGCAGTTAAAATAACTTTGTTCAAGGCGTATTGCACCTCACTGTACACGGAAAGTCTGTGGGTTAACTACACCCAGAGAGCGTACAATGCTCCGCGGATCCAGGATAATAATGCGTTCAGGGCACTGTTGCGGCACCCACGTTTCTGTAGTGCAGTCAGCAATGTTTGCTGATGCTCACACCGATGGATTTGCTGCGTTATGGCGCAAAAAGACTGCATCGTTCATCAGTCGCTTGCGTGGAAGTCGCCACGGTATCCTGACTGCTATAGCCGGTAGACATGACTGTCCATTGTTTACTATTGCTTATTAATATTGTACCTAAATAATTATGTATGATTGTGTTCTTTCTTTACTATTAGTTTGATGGATCTTAGTTATCTGAATAAATAAATAAATGATTTATTATTATTGGGACTTTGTTGTTTTTATTGTTACTTACAAAAAGAATTTATAAGTTTTTTGTGTCACACCATAGTCTGATCTTTGTTATGAACAAGGTGTTTCAAATTATATTACTGCGTTCTTCAAAGCATCAATTATTGCTTCACTGTTCAAGTAGACGTGCAAAAGTAGCTTCTGCGCATGAAGTTTAATGACTAAAAAATGTTATTAACTCGTCGAGTACCGTATTTATAGACACAATTAAAGAACAATAGGTCGCGGTCACCGGTGACCGCTTGGTGTTTGACAGTTTAAATTGTTTAATTTGAAACTTTTGTTATACAGAAGTTTTAAATTAAGTAAATTATCAAATTATGAGATTAAATTTTGTGCTATATTTTTACTGAAATAATAAATATCTATGTAGATAAATAATGTACTTATGTTTTCATAATTGGAAAAATAAGTACGAAGCATGAATGTACTTTTCTTTACCCCTCTATAAAAATCTTAGTCTATATTATTTTGTATCTTACAAGGGTAAAAGATTTCATAATATATCGTGAAAGTCACGTTCCGCGCATCGACATAAATAATGCTCAAGTGACGATAAATTGAGGAACACGAGAAGACTGCAATCATTACATTTAGATTTGTAAGATGAGCATTTTGAGTGTCCGATCTTCGAGATTTTTCTACTAAGTATGGAACCTGATACCTTAACTTACGTACTAGATTATATATTAGTTTTTATACATAAAAGCTAATATATAATCGAGTCGGGTCGGGCAAAGTATTACTGGGTTTTTAAAAAAAATCTCAGTAGTAGCACGTAGTCTAGAATTGTGCCCAGTATATGGCAATAGGCTCACCCCCTATTACATGGGACTCATAACATAAATAGTGAAAAGTGGGTGTTACATTGTACAGTGGCATAATGTGCACCTCTGCCTACCCCTTCGGGGATAAAAGGCGTGATGTTATGTATGTATGTATGTATAAATTTAATAGTTTAAAAACACTAATGGGTATTTGAAGACATTAATCTAACTTGAATGGTCATAATTTTTGTTTTCAAGTATAATAATATATCCCTTGCATAAAAAAATACTTTATAAAATAAAAATATCAAAAAGCAAACAGGCCCAAATTTTGTAAAATCTAATATGGTTCATTTATTTGGATAAAAGTGCTCTACTCCTAATCGGGAAGCTAACATTGAATTTGGTCACGTATCTACATAGAATCTGTAAATAATTTTTACACAAATTTTGACACTATTAAATTGAGTAAATATCGATTAGATATTGTAGTTAATTGTGTGGTAAGATTTTTTGTATGGGATAAGTCGATAAACGAGCAGACAGATCACCTGA